CTTGAAGGTGCGTCGTACGTCCAAACAATCTACAGGACGCATTCAGTCCTACAGCACGGTCAAGGGTTCACTTACTCTGGAATAATCAGGAATAATCAGGATGTTGATTGAATTCTCAACACACACTCAAGGATTGTGTCATTGAAATGGGAAAATATATATATATATATAATATAAATATACAATATTGCATCGTCTGCAAATACTATGAGAAAAATAATTATATAAACTGAGTCCTTGTAATAATAGTAATAATGTCGCTGACGGACATGATTTATATTGATTATTCAGAGGGAATTCAACATCAGTTTCTGTTCGTTGTGTCAGAAGATTTCTTCTTTATGAAAGTGTGTAAAATAACGAGCCGTTCATCAAGACACTGAAGACATTTCTGCTGCTGATGGCTTCAGGGATTTGTTTTAATCAAAAAAATACAATCTTTTATTTCCTTATCATTGGAATTGTGTGTTTTTATGAAGAAAATAAAACACTATAAATTACTATAACAAAGTGAAAAGATAACATTTAGTGTTTTTTTATGTTTTACTGACTTCAGAGCGTTGAAAACAATATTCTGGATGCTTGTAGAGCAGCAGCTGTAATCAAACAACAGAGATCTGCATCTGATAATATGGATCATCAAGGCTCGGCAATTAGTCGTAGCGGTAAATAATAAAACATCCGTGGTAATTGGGACGGAGGATGAAACAGGAAGCATGATTTATCTGAATGAAAATGTAGCAAACATTAAAGGAAAAAGACCTCAAAAGTCCCGCCCACTCTGTCGTGATTGGCGGGAGGATTTGTTGGACGTGCGGTGCAGAAGCAGTACATTTAACAAAGATGAGGATTAAAGCACTTTAACACTCGACACATAGCAACAGCTGAAGCTTAATCTGCACATTAAAACCACACCGTTGCTGTGTTTGTGCTCCACTTGTTGACTCTCGACGCCACGCTCGCCTGCCTCTGACACCAACACCTGCCGGCCTGGAAAATGCCCCCGAGGTTTGTTTGACTTCTTACCTCGGCCCGTGTTTACTCCGTCTGCTTTCTTTTCTTTTCTCTGTTGATTGAGTGTGTTGGAGATAAGAGGAGGCGCGTGCAGGACGGCAGCAGCTGAGAGAGAAGGAGGCCATGTTGAAGAGCAGAGGAGGAGGAGGAGGAGGAGGTGAAGTGAGAGATGACTGGGATGAGAGAGCTGGTGTGATGTAACTCAGCTCCCACTCACCAGCAATTTATATTCTCCACACAAAAACTGACATTTAGAAGAAGAAGCATTTAAATAGTTGTAGAGTCAAGCGACAGTATTTTACATTCTGGATAGACAAATATTAGCATGGGTGATGGATGGATGAATGGATGAATGGGTGGATGGGTGGATGATGGGTCCTGGCCATAGACTGGATATAACTCCCATTGGTTTGTGGACTGTCTTTTTGAAGCCTCGAGTTCAGCGATTTCGCCGTCGCCATCTTGGATTATGACAATCGCCATGTTGGTTTTTTTTGCAGCCAATAAACAGAAGTTACCATATTTGCAATATGGAAGAGTGACGCTGTATACGGCTCTGGTAGAGACCTGTCAATCACAGTAAGCCCGCCCTAAAGGGTATGTTCCTCTATGAGAAAATGACTCTACTTCTCTCTTGATTTATGACCTCAGTAAACATTGTAAACATGAGTTTATGGTCTCAATCTCTAGTTTCAAGTCTTCTTCAATACAGCATGATGTTCATTTAGTACATTATGGTCCATTTAGAGTCACACAGACCATAAAGCAGGGGATGCTTTAGGGCGGGGCTACACGGTGATTGACAGGTCTCTACCAGAGACGTATACAGCGTCTCTACATCACTCCTCCTCAGTCCAGATATGGTCACTTCCTGTTCACTGGTTGCCAAAAAAACCAACATGGTGACGACCGCAATCCAAGATGGCGACTGTGAAAAACATCAAAATATCAGTCCACAAACCAACGGGTGACATCACGACGACTACGTCCACTATTTATATACAGTCTATGGTCTCAACATGGCGACAGCTAGACGCTAACAACGCTAACAACGCTATCAGTGCTGACAGAGCTAACAGTGTTTACGTGAGGTTGAAACAGGAAGACGAGGTGCTGTAGACATCACTCCTTTATATCTTCACATAGACAACAGTGGTTTGATGCTATATTAATGCTCTGAACCTTTTTTCTTAGAGTAACAATAAAATACAAAATAAGAGGCTTTAAAGTCCACAAATGATGCTGCAGGTAAACAACAACATTACACATCTACCCTCACACACTATCACAGGGTGTAGCATTACTCCCTGTCCTGGACTAACAGCATTAGAGAGCAGTGATGTCTGATTAAACCAGACAAATTGAATCACATCGTGTCGCTTTCATGTCTGACAACAAGTGAAGAAAAAACACGAACGAAGTATAAAAACACCAGCAACACAAACACATTCAAGACTCACAAGCTCGTTGCCTCGTTTGAAGGACAAGACCTGGATCAGGAGGCCGAACCTGCACGAATAAGCAGCAGGTGAAAAAAAACGTCAGCCATCGACGTCCAAAAACAACTGATCTGATGCTCTCAATAAGAAATGGTTCTCCCCAGTTTGGTGTGGGATACCTTGACTGGTCTGCACCTCAACCCCATCAACACCTTTGGGATGAAGTGGTTCTGTCAGAACTGATCACTAACACCAGGGTTGGATCTCACTGATGAATGGGAGCAAATCCCTGCAGCAGCTTAAACATCTGGAGGAAAGACTGGAACCAGAAGAGGACGTTAGAGACATTGATGCTCACTGAGATTTCAGACTCTTTCAAGATTAGACAAGAAGCATCAGGTCTACAGTTAGCATTGTCCTGTTATACAAGGACAACGCTAACATGATGATGTTTAGCAGATGTAATGTTTATCCTGTACCTCATGATGGCGCTATAGATAACAAGTCGCCGAAGTGATGGGGATTCATCCTCTGGGGATCATGAATGTCTGGACAAAATGTCATTACAGTCCGTCTGAAAAAGACAGAAGAAACGTGTACTGTGGGATAAATACTTCAATATTTAGTGTTGTATCTCGGCCGTGCAGCTCCGACAGCTGCTGCTTTCTATTCAGACTCTGCTGTGGTCCATTATAGTGTGTGTGTGTGTGTGTGTGTGTGTGTGTGTGTGTGTGTGTGTGTGTTATCTGTAGCTCTTATCTGCAGTCTGCTCCCCAGCTGGCTTACACCTGCCAGAGCCACACAAGGAGGGAGACACAGACTGATGGCCTGCGTCTGTTTGAGTGTGTGTGTGTGTGTGTGGGGGGGGTAGTGAAAGTGTGTGTGTGGTAAAAGCTATCGAGGGAGAAAGTGTGAGAGAGTGTGACGGAAGGGTTCAGGTGGAGGTGAGACAAAAGGTTTCTATCCAGATGTGAAAATTTTCTGCAATTTCTCTCCAAAGACAGTTTGCTGATTATCAACGTTTGTTGTTTTATAAGTTCTGGTGAATAAATGAATGTTATTACTGATAAAAACAAAAGAAAGATTGTGTTTATTCATAGTCTGAAGAGCATGTTTTTCAGATCTTAACTGTAATCTGCTGATAAAACTCTTTATGAATTGAGAATTGAACGTTGCAGATGCTGAGGAAGACCGGTAGAAAGCTCCAGAACAGCCACTCAATGGATCTTATAGTGAGATTATTTTGTCAGCTGCTGATTCAAAACATCCGGCCTCACGTTTAAGAGCCAACGCAAACGAGAAAGAAGTTCTCAAAGTGCTCAGAAGAAAAGGAAAGTCCGATGATGAAGATCATGTGATATGATCCAAAAGCTCCGGATTCTGTGAAGAAGACAATAAGAGTTCATTTCGTCAGAGATCAGCAAAATAACAAGATGAATATGAGACCGAAGAGACGTTATTAAATGGAACAAATAAAAGTAAAGAGCATTTTAATAATCATATTCAAAATCCATTAACACTCTTTAAAAATGATGAATGAGAATTATTAATTGGTACATTTAATAATAATTATTAATAATTTAATATAAATCCACAACTGGTTCAATTCAAGGAAATCCATGAAAGTTTCTTTGTAGTTTAAAAGTTCAGTCTTGACTTTTGGAAACGTTAAATAACATTTAGTGTCGTGAACCTGAAGATGTTTAAACGTCTTTGAGTTAAAGTTTGACATCTACATGTTGAATCAGTTTCCTTCACGCTTGTTGACATTTTTTCGTCTCTGTTTTTCATACATTTTTCGATGATGCGTCCATTCGTAAACCCCGCCCACAAGGCTCTGATTGGTTGATTGTTTCTCTAAACTCTTTAGGTTTCTGCGAGTCAGAGGAATGTCATGATGACGACAGACGTACGTCTGTTTGAGAACTACAGGAATGTCCTTCAGATGACATTTCATAACTCTTCTCTCTACAAACACAACATGATGTAATATATATACTTTTTGTTTCTTTAGATTGAATATTCTACACTTTGAAAACAAATCCCTCAACTTATTTCAGCCACTTGTTTCCTCCGTTTCCCAGAATGCCTTTCAGGACTTTTACTTGTAACAGATTGAAATACTTCTACCACTGTGTACAGAATACAATATATGTATATTCTTATAATTTATAAGCTTAACTCATTGTAATTTCCCAATTTAACAAAGTCATTAAAAAGATGGGAGGTATTAAAAGATATGACTTATAATGGAAATACTCATGTAAAGTACAAGTACCTCAAATGTCTATTTAAGTACTTGGAGCACATGTTGGTTTTTGAAGTCTTATTCTGATTTATTAAGAATATGTATCTTAATATTTTGATGTTTTTTAGCCCAACAAATACATAAATAAAGATCAAATGAAGGATTGTTGTATCATCATGTATGGAAGTCTCTTTAAACAGCATTTAAGTGAATAAATCCAGCTGTTAAACAACATCTGCAAAGATATTTTCACGCTATAAACAACAACACACAAGACGGAATGAAAACTTTCTCAGTTTGGTTTTTTATTATTTTTGGACATTTAGCAAAATACTGCAGAAACATCCAAAGCAGTAGAAGAGCGAAGGTTACAAAGAAAACCCAAAAGAAACATGAAGTAAAATCAATGATTGCATTCAGTTATTATTTATTCAGGAGCGGCAGATAGAACTCATTGATTGCTTTCACGTCACTTGAACACACCGTTCCTTATAAATTAAATAAACAATACACATAGCAACAGATCACAGAGCACACGGAGCAATAATTTACACAAATAATTTAATAAATACATAAATAAATAGCAGGAAAACAAAAGAAGGGGAGTTAGATATACTGTATAGTGGAAATACAGAAGGCTTTGTGAACAACGATGATCACATCGTGATAAATAAGTGATGGAGACACAATCAGATCAGTTTAAGGCAGTTTTACAGCAGGAGGTTCTAATCCAAAGGCATTAACCGGCTACACTAGTTTCTCTTTTTGTTTTTCAGGCAGACAGCTACTGATCCACAGATCCTCGACGTTAAAGCTAATCAGAGTGATGAGTCGGCTCGTTTACCCCCTCCCCCTCCCTCTCTCTCTCTTAGGTCTAGAAGCTAATAGCACTTGTGCAGAGATGCTAGAAAAATAAATTAACAGTCTAAAGTGTTTGGAGAGTGATGTCAGAGGTGCTCAGAGCACGGTGTGTGTGTGTGTGTGTGTGTGAGGGGGGGAGATTACAGGCCAGGGTTCAAACACACACCCAGAACCTGCTGAAGTGTCCTCGAGCAAGGCACTGAATCCCTGCCAGCTGCAGGTGAGCGGCTGACCTCTGACCTCTACAAGCTGACACAGTGATGAGTTACACTGCAAAAATAAAATAAGTACATATCCTTTAATTTCTTATTTTACCTCAATTATTCAGTCAAAAACGATTCTTAAAAAGAGACAAATTGTTCCACAAGTGAAAAAATTTAGAGTTTAAGATTTTAAGTGTTTCAAATGTGCTGATTTTCTAACCAAATGAGTGAAGGAAGAGAAAATAGATCCTTACAATCAACAGTGAACTCAATCAGAGTTCGAGCTTCTCACCAAAGTGCCAGAATATATGTTTCACTCGATTTAAAAACAAACAAGCTTTTTTGAAGGAAAATGATATTTTTTGCAGTGTAACTCTAACTTCCTCTCAGAAACGAGGCTGGATTTGTGATCCGTGTGAAAGGAGCCCGTAAAGTCCCGGATCAGCACGCGGGGCGGAGCGGCACCTGCAGCAGGATCACCTGCCGGTTCTCGGACGGGTGGCACTTGTTGATGTGTCTGGTGAGTCCCGGGGAGCTGTAGAACACGGCCGGGCAGTATTTGCACGGGTACACCTGCGAGGAGTGCAGCAGGCGGATGTGCCGCTCCAGGCCGCCCCGGTTGGAGAAGCTCTCTCCGCAGACCGGACACAGGTGGCACGCGGAGCCGCTCAGGTTCAGCGGCGCCGCGCTCCGCTCCGGCGCGTCCTCGTCCTCCGCCGGCTTCGGGGAGCCGTGCTGGGACGCCAGGTGCTTCCGCAGGTATGCTTGGCGTTTAAACTTTTTCCCACAGTGATTACAATCGTACAGCCCTTCCTCTGAGCCGGACTCGGACGGTCCGGGACTGGGCGTGTCCCTGTCACTAGAATCCTTCGCTTCCTCCTGCGCGGTCTTACCGGACGCGGAAGCCTTGTCGCTCTCCGGAGCGGCGCTCTGCGGCTTCGGCTTGTGCCACCGCCGGTGCGAGGCGAGGTTAGCCGGGCAGCTGAACACCTTGTCGCACTCGGGACACCTGTACTCGACCCGGACTATCCGGGAGCACTTGTGCTGCGCCAGAGCGAACGGGTCCGCGTACACCTCGCGGCACAGCTGGCACACGAACTCGTTGTCCCCTCCGGGCAGCTGCGGTCTGAGGGGCTTCTGGTCCACCGGCGCCTCTTTGATCTTGAGCCCGAGGACCGGAGACGTGGTGACATTATCCTCAAAGTGCAGTTTCCGGATGGCTTTGGTTTTCTTGGACGGCGGTTTGCCTTTGCGCTCGGCGTCGCCGGCGGGCCGTTTGGTCGCGGCGGTAGGGAGCGTCGCGGCGGACGCGGCACTGGTCTCGGTGCGGTTGCTGTTGCTGGATCCGATTTTCAGGTCCACCGGGGCGTAGAGGTGGTCCAAGGCGGGCAGCGCTGCTGGTGTCGGGAAGGACTCCGCGGAAACCGGAGATCCGAGGTTGAAGCGCCTCTCGAAGGAGGAGCGGTCGTGGTCCCGGCTGACGGGGCGGGTGGGGCTGTAGAGAGCGTGGTACACCAGCTCCGGGTTCCCGAACTGCACCGGTCTGCCGACCTGCTCCGGAGCCGCCGCCCCGCAGGTGGGCGTCGGCGTCTGTGCGCGCCCCGGGAAGAAGGCGGCGAGAGGCGCGCAGGAAAGCGGTGGCGGCGGCAGCAGCAGCGCATCAGCCGCTGTCTGCTCCGCGTCCTCCTCGTCGGGGCGGACCCGGTAGGACACCGGGTTGGTCTTCTTGTTCCTTTTCACCAAAAATCCCCTCGGCATGTTCGCGCTTGGACGTAAACCCTGAAGGCACTTTTGGGGACGCTGCTGCGGGGAGAACAAATCCACTTTCAGTCGCGCGCGGACACAAACATCTGATGCGCCTTTTTGTTGTCGCTTCCTGCCGCTATTGATCCTCTGTTCTCCTCCCGAGGTGCTTTCAACCACAACATAGCTGCACTCTTTTTAAGGCGACATGATGACATTGTCTCCCCCCCAACTCGTTGACTCATCCCGACCAATCAGGAGGAGCCGAGGTCCCCGGTGGATTTGGGGTGTGGGTGTGGGAGGATGGAGAGGCTGATGGAGAAGGAGGAGGAGGAGGAGGAGGAGGGACTGGGGATTTGCAGATTGCAAAGCAGATGTACCTGAGGGGTTTTATTGTATTTCACCCCCCCTCCCTACATTCTCTCCTCCTCCTCCTCGTCTCGACCCCGGGCACACGCCAGGAGCCTCCTGCTTTTACGGTCTGATGAGTTTGTATAGAAATCTACACGTGCCTCGGCTTTATATGTCTCCTTTGGGTTTAGGGGGGGGGTTGTCCAAAAACAGGAGACATGCGTCCACATAACGATGTGAAGTAGAAGTGATTGGAGGGGAAAATAACAAAAAGATGGAATATGTAGAATTACAAGCTGGAAATTCAGTTTCAGAGATGAAACAGCAGCAGAACTTTTAGTGCGAATTTTAGAAATGAAATAAAATGAGATGAGGCAGTTTTCAGAATTCAAGATATTCAAAGACTTTCCAGATTAACTAAAGATCCAAAGAGCAGAACTAAAACGCGTCTTTTACGCACTAAACGGTGGCTTTAAATTCGACCAAATAACCAACATCTCAGAACCACTGCGGCCCTGCAGCATGTGTGTGCGCTCGCGCGCCGCTGCTGTTGCTGGCGTGACAGTTAACTCCGGACATATGAATCCGTCACTTTGCGCATACATAATTAATACCGAGAGGAGGGTTTTCCTGCTTTGCATCACAATGGCGGCGCTTGTGCAAGCTGTAGACCCGCCGTGATTGAAAAGGAAATTGCACAGTTGAGAAAAAAATAAGGGGTGGTGGTGGTGGTGGTGCCCCCCCCCAAAAAAAGCAATCTGGCCACCAAATACCGTCGGCGCGTGCTGTGCGTAATCAGTGCGCGCTTTTCTGTCACCAAATGGGGCAAACTGAGATTATCTGCGAGTTATAGAACACAGCAAACGCAATTCCTGCAGGTGCTGCTGACCCGGTCAACCAGCACCGCGAGGGATGCTGGGATGTCACGTGGGAAGTGTTTTTAAAAGTAAAGATTTATTTCCAGTTGAGTTCAGGATCAGTTTGGATTGATTTGGTCACATTAGTGTCCAAACGTGGAGCTGGAATCAGAGCAGTTACCGCTGCTGTTATCTCATTATGAAATCCTACAATTCTTATTTCATTTTTACGTGTTTGTTTTTAATATTGATTTCATCTGCAGTGAATTAGTTTACTGTCTCCTACCAGATACAACTTGTCCATCAATGAGTCCTTTAAGTCAATAATTAGCTGATGTGGTGAGATCATTTCCACCTGTTTCCAATATAAATCAAATAGTTTCAAGAAAAGTCAAATTTTTCTTGATTCTAGTGCTGCGAGCTGCTTCGTTCTCGTGTTTCAAGATCAAATTCCTGGACAGACCATTTTGACTGGAAACAGGATGAAATAATCTCAACGTGTCAGCAACTGCTTTTAAGAAAACAAGACTTTAAGTGGTTAAAGAAATAGATAATTACTTTAAAAAACATGTTAGCTTGTGATATCTGTTTCAATTTAAACAGATAAAGTGACATAATGTGACTAATAACTCAAAACTAAACGCCACTAATGATAAAAGTCCCTTTGTAGAATATCAAGTAAACACTGTAATATCATTAAATACCATAAAAACAACACTATAAATGACCTATTTATTACCAGACTAAAGAATAAAAACAGCATTAAGTGCAGCAAAGTTACTAAAGATTTGTATCTTTTTTTATTTTAAAGAGATAATGTATTCTTTTGGTAAATCCCTCTACATGATGCATTCATGGTAATCTGGATATTTCCATGATGTAACATTTTGAACGTGTCTGAATCCTAAAGTATGTGACACCAGCAGCTGGCGGGTTGTTTGTAGCTGCAGACATATGTTGTTGTGTGTGCGGTTATTTTCCCGACAGGCTTCAGCTCGGCCTCATTAGCATACAGCTGTAGAGGGACCCCCCCCCCTCCTCCTCCTCAGAGCTTTTATCTCCAGCCGTGTGATTGGTCACGCTGCTGCAGAGTCATATACTCACAGTTACAGTTGGCACGTTATGGAGGAGATGTCTGTGGAAAAGAAAACAGAGAAATGATGGTTTTGTTTGCATTAAACTGTTGACTGTGCGTCACATTGAAGTTAAGAGGAAGTGAAGAGTTCTTCATGTCCTGTCTGTGAACAGCTGCTCAGAGGAAGACAGAAAGCGATCCGGTCGTCTTTGAACAAAGTCTGTCTGTTTCCACTGAAAACATCAAACTCATAACGAGACAGAGAAGCGATCAAAACCGCTGCAGCAGAACCAGAGATACTGCCTTCTTTATTCCACACGTTCTTCTTCCTGGTGCCTACTTTTACCCACAATGCAACAAGCGGTCCACAGAGCTCAGGCTTTTAAAAACACTCCCGGCGTTGTGGAAATCTAAAGAGTGAAACACGTTTTGTTTTGTGTTTCACTCAAACAACCACGAAGGCGGAAAAGTCCACGTTTCTACCGCCGGTTTAATGCTCATCCAGCTGGAGGTCCTACTTCTAATTAAAGGGAAGAAGAAGAACGCTAGCTGGTAAACAGAGACATTAAACAAAGCAGAAACTCCTTAAAAATAACTGGCTTTGAAAAAGTTTTATGAGGAATGAAAGAGTATTTGTTTGACTACATTAAAAAAGAGCCTTTTTAACACAGTGAACAGGATCAAAGAGCTTCGTTAGCTGGGTGTCAGGTGTGACGTCACAGCTGTCCCGGGCCGGCGAACATGGGCAGCAGGTTTCGGTTGTAGGTCAGATATCTGACGGCGCTGCTCCTCAGAGACGCTCGAGTCTCAGCGTCTTTCAATCGGTCGTCCTCAGTCTCCTGCAGGGACACAAACGGAGACCAAAGAGTTCTTAGAGTTACTCTCCACACCGGCCTCCACTGCTGAGATGTAATTTATATACGTTACATACATGATACGTGTTGTATTCAGTCTGTTTATCGTTGTATTGTTGTTCCTCAGACATACATGTTAAATGTTACAAGACTCAGATCAGAACTTTAAAAATATTAAAAATAAAACAGCACTGACTGCGTTTGAGGTGATCTGCTGAAGCTCCTCCTCAAAGTCGGAGAATCTGTCGTGATAAACGGCCAAACACCAGCTCTGTCTGAAGAAACTGTAAACACACACACACACACACACACACACACACACACACACACACACACA